AACACACCAACACTTATTAGGTGTAGCTAAAGCAGTACTTAGAGGACTATTTATAGCTGTAAATGCCTATGTTAAAAAAGAAGAAAGATCTCAGATAAATAACCTAAAATTCTACCTTAACAATGGAAAAAAAGCAAACTAAACCAAAGCAAGTAGAAGGAATGAAATGATAAAGATTAGAGTGGAAATTAATGAAATAGAAAAAAATAGAGAAAATCAAAAAAACTAAAAATTCATTCTTTGAAGAGGTCAACAAAATTGGCAAATCTTTAGCTAGACTGACCAAGAAAAAAAGAGAGAAGATTCAAATTACTAAAACATGAAGGAAAGAGGGGACAATACTGCAGACCTTACAGAAATAAAGAAGATTATAGGGGAATACTATGATCAATTCTTTTCCAACAATTTACATAATTTAGATAAAATGGACAAATTCTTAGAATGATACAAGTACTAAAATGGACTCAGAAATAAATAGAAAATATGAATAGATCTATAACAAGTAAAGAGATTCAATTAGTAATAATAACTGAAAAAAACTCCCAACCTACTCACAAAGAAAAGCCCAGGCCCAAATGTTTGATGAATTCTACCAAACATTTAAAGAAGAATTAGTACCAATTATACACAAACTCTTCTTTCCCCACCCCTCCCCCCCAAAAAAATAGAAGCGTGAACAATTCCAACTTATTTTATGAGGCTAGTATTACCCTGATACCAAAATCAGACAAAGACATCACAAGGAAAAAAATCCTATGCACCAATATCTCTTGTGAATATAGAGGCAAAAATTCTCAACAGAACACTACCAAACCGAATCCACTAAGATATTGTGGAATTGAAGAAAGATGGAATCTCTCCATCTTTTTTAGGCACCAAAATGGAGCTGGGCGGACATGAAGAGGAGAGGAACAAATTCCTCCTTCAGGATGAACTCTTGAGCTCATTAAATGCCTGAAATGAGTCACAAATCTTCTCAAGGAAGATAAGATTATCCCAACAGAGACCCTGTTCCTGTCAGTCATCTCCCACATTCCTAAGTTTACTGGTTTGTTTCAACCGACTCTCACCCTGATGATTACCTTGTGCCTGAAATTTGTTAAACACATTCCTTCCCTCCTTTTTTTTTCTTTGCCTTTGTTAGCCACGACTATACAACCTTCCTTCTCCCTTCAATGGCTGGAACACAATTCAAGTGCTACTTGAATCTGTGCTTCCCAGGCTGCAGTCCTGACAAACCTCAAATAAACTTCTTTTTGTTTTAAGTTTTACCCGAGTCTACGTCATAATTGATAGACAATATAAAAATGATAGTATACCATGACAAAGTGGAGTTTATCCCAGGAATGCAAGATCTGAAAATCAATTGATGAAATATACCATATCAACAGAATAAAGAAGAAAAACCCATAATCATCTCAATAGACACAGAAAGAGCATTTGACAAAATCCCACACCTCTTCGTGATAAGCAGTCAAATTTGGAAAAAAATAAACAAACAAAACTTGAAAGCAAACAAACTTGGAAGACAATGAACTTCCTCAACTTGATAAAGGGTATTTATGAAAAATCCACAGCTAACATCATACTTAATGGTGAAAGACTGAATTATTTCCCTTTAAAATCAGGAGTAAGACAAGGAAGTTCACTCTTACCATTTCTTTCTTTCTTTCTTTCTTTCTTTTTTTTTTTGGTGAGGAAGATTAGCCCTGAGCTAACAACCATTGCCAATCCTCCTCTTTTTGCTGAGGAAGATTGGCCCTGGGCTAACATGCGTGCCCATCTTCCTCTACTTTATATGAGACACCGCCATAGCATGGCTTGACAAGTGGTGCATAGGTCTGTGCCCGGGATCCGAACCTACGAACCCCAGGCCACTGAAAGGGAGCAAGCAAACTTAACCACTACACCACTGGGCCGGCCACCAGACTCTTGCTACTTCTATTCAACATTTTACTGAAGGTTCTAGCCAGGGAAATGAGACAAGAAAATTAAATGAAAGGCATCCAGATTTGATAGAAAGAAGTAGAACTATCTCTGCAGATGACATGATCATGTATATTGAAAATCTTAAGGAATCCACTAAAAACCTATTAGAACTAATAAATGAGTTCAGCAAGGCTGCAGAATACAAGATCAATATGCAAAAGTCAATTGTATTTCTATAGATTAGCAATAAGTAATCTGAAAATGAAATTAAGGAGGCAATTCCATTTACAATGGCATCAAAAAGAGTAAAATACCTAGAAATAAACTTAACAAAAGAAGCGCAAAACTTATTCTCTGAAAAGTAAAAAACTTAGTTGAAAGAAATTAAAGACCTAAATAAATAGAAAGTTATTCCATGTTCATGGATCAAAAGACTTAATATTGTTAAGATAGTAATAGTTCCCAAATTTATCTGTAGATTTAATGCAATCCTCGTATAATTCAAACTGTCTTCTTTGTAGAAATTGGTAAGCTGATCCTAAAATTTATATGGAAATTCAAGAGATCCAGATTAGCCAAAACAATCCTGAAAATGTGGGAGGACTCCCACTTCCCAATTTCAAAACTTACTGCAAAGCTACAATCATTAAGAAAGTGTGGTACTGGCATAAGAATAGACATATAGATCCATGAGATAGATTTGGAATCCAGAAAATAACCCTCACATTAATGGTAAATGAATTTTTGACAACAGTGCAAAGATAATTCAGTGGGGAAAGAATAGTCTTTTCAACAAATGGTACTGAGACAACTGAATATCCACATGCAAAAGAATGAAGTTGGACCCCACTTCATACCATGACAAAAAGGAACTCAAAATGAAGAAAGACATAAAAGTAAGAGCTAAAACCATAAAACTCTTAGAAAAAACCATAAACATAAATCTTTGTGACTTTAGATTAGGCAATGGGTTCTTAGATGTGACATCAAAAGAAACAAAAGAAAAAAACCAGATAAAGTGGATATAATCAACACTAAAAACTTCTGTGCTTCAAAAGGCACCATCAAAGTGAAAAGACAACCCACAGAATGACAGAAAATATTTGCATATATTGATTGAAGATTTGTGTCTAGAAAATATAGAGAACTCTTACAATTCAACAACAAAAAGACAACCCCAAAATGGGTGAAGAATCATTTCTGAATAGACATCTCTCCAAAGAAGATGTAAAAATGGCCAACAGGCACATGAAAAGATGCTCAACATCATTAGTAATCAGAGAAATGCAAATCAAAACCACAATGAGATATTATTTCACACCTATGAGGATGGCTATAATCAAAAAGTCAGCTAGTAAGTGTTGTTGAGGATATGGAGAAATTGGAACCCTCATCCACTGCAGATGGGAATAGAAAATGGTCTAGTCACTTTGGAAGTGGCTTTGTTGTCTGGCGGTTCCTCAAAAGAAACAGAGGAACCGCCTGACCCCCAGATGGTAAACAGAGTTACCATCTGACCCCCAGTATTTTTGCTCCTAGAGATACACCCAAGAGAAATGAAAATGTAGTCTTTGCAAAAACATGAACGTTCATAGCAGCATTATTCATAATAGCCCCAAAGTGGAAACAAGTACATGTCCACAAACTGATGAATGGATAAACAAAAGGTGGTATATTCATACTGTGAAATATTATTTGGCAATAAAAAGAATGAAGTACTGATACATGCTATGACATGGACGAACCTTGAAAACATTATGCTACGTGAAAGAAGCCAGACACAAAAGACCGCACGTTATATGATTTCATTTATACGAAATGTCAGGAATAGGCAAAGCTATAGAGATAGAAAGTAGATTAGTGGTTACCTGGGCTAGGGAAGAGGCATAAGAGGGGTTTGTGGGGTGATGGTTAGGAGCACAGGGTTTCTTTTTGAGACAATGAGAATGTTCTAAAATTGATTGTGGTGATGGTTGCACAACTGTGTGAATATACTAAAAATTGTTGAATTGTACAATTATAAACAGGTAAATTGTATGGTATGTCAATTATATTGCAATAAAGCTGTTATTAAATAAAAACAACACTATGCCCTGTCGACACCAAAAAGCTTTCCTCCAAATGACTGCAAATTGGCTTGGGGATGGGAATTTTATTCTCAGGGCCTCATGTGGTGTCAGCTCTTGATCCAAGAATTCTGGCCTGGTTCCACAACACATTGACCCAGAAATGGAACTCAGCCCTTGACTGAAGTTCTATCCTCCCACCCTGCCCTGCCACTTAGGAAGCATTTATGACTTCATTGTAGATGGGGCAGAGGAGGCAGAGAGGATGACATTACAGAAGAGCAGGCAGCTTTCAAAGGAACATCAGGTATCCTGGGTTTTAGGATACTCTTCACCCATTTATCAGTTGGGTGGGGGGGGGGCTTTCCTCAGCCTTCTGCATCCCCCACTCAAGTCCCTCAGGCCATCTCCCCAGCAACTGCCCTCCCTTCCTGTCTGGAGCAAACCAAATTCCTCTCCAGCATCTCTCAGGCAGAGCTGTTTAGAATCAGACACATCTTTAGTGGCCTTGATTGTCCTTTTTACGGCCCCTGAACTCATGTTCCACCTAAGAAATTTATCAAGATATTTCTTAACAAAGATAAATATCTCCCTAAGAGGAATTCTATTGTCAGTTAAGACACTAATGTGGCTTCGTTTTTTTAAAGTGGAGAGAATAGTTTAATGAACCTCATGGACCCATCACTCCCAGCTTTAACAATCATCAATGTTTTGCTAATCTTGTTTTCACATAAGATAAATTCTTCATCTCAGTTACTTCTTATTTGGGGGGCTTTTAAAGTAAAAATACAAATGCTCCTGTCAGAGCAAAACAGAATACAGGCTGAGCAACCTTTTGTTCTTTCCCAGTGCCGGGAACCCAAGGAGGGGAATGGAGCGTGGGAGCCACCCCCTAGCCGGCGGGGGGGCTGCAGGTGGGGGCGGAAGAGGTTGGTTCAGGTGTGTGGGACCATGGCTGATGGGGAGGTGTGCGTAGACGTGGACGCGGAGGGCAGGGGTCCCAGGACCGTGCTCCCAGGGCGAGGCTGCGGGCGGCCTAGAGGGCGGTGTCGGACATGAGGTCCTGCGGCGCCCCCTCGCGGGAGTAGAACTCATCGATCACGCTCTGCGGGATGCGCTTCAGCATCTCTTTGGGGAAGATGCGCAACAGCTTCCATCCCAGGTCCAGCGACTCGAACACGGAGCGGTTCTCGTAGGGGCCTAGGGACAGAGCGGGAGTGTAGGGCGCGCGCGTTTGTGTGTGTATGTGTGTGTGTGGCGGGGTAAGGGGGTTACTGCCTAAACGCCCCCAACGCGCCTCACCCTGGTTGATGAAGTTCTTCTCGAATTTCTGCAGGAATTCCAGGTAGAGCAAGTCCTCTGAAGTGAGCGCCTCCTCCCCCACCACTGCCTTCATGGCCTGCACGTCCTTCCCAATGGCGTAGCAGGCATACTGGGTGAAGAGAGGCGGGGGGGCGGGAGGGGTGTCACCACAGGCTTATCACAGGAGTCTGATGGCCCCCAAATTGGCTGTGCGTGGCCCACTTTTTGGGGAGAGATTTTGCCAGGAGAAAAGCTCGTGGTTCAGAGGGGGCTCAAACCTCCAGCTTCCGAAGCTAGCTTACCCGCCAGCCCCTGGACTCTCTCCTTCTTACCAGTTGGTTGGAGACATCTCCGTGGTCCTTTCTCGTCATACCCTCCCCGATGGCGGACTTCATTAGCCGTGACAGGGAAGGGAGCACGTTGATGGGGGGGTAGATCTAGGAGGGGGGAGCAGAAGAAGGGAGTGGCAGAGGGAGGGTGCGAACTTGCCTTCCCTTCCTACCACACTTCTCTCCCCTCCCCCTGTGGTTCACAGGAGACTGGTCCTCATTTGTCCCACAGCGAGGTCGCTGGTCACTCCCCGCCCTCCTTCATCTCCCACAAATTCTAGGTCTTGGGTATGCAGGTGTCTACAGGTGTGCTTCTAGACAGGAGAGTGGCCGGGGAGATGACATGACCTTAGTTAGTGAAAGGCTCGCTATTTCAAAACTGTTGATTATTTGGACAAAAACCAGGTTGAAGCTTAATAGCTAACAGCTGTAACGAAAGAAGCTGCCACGCAAAGAGGAAAAAGTCATAGGGTGCCTTTAACCTCACATGGGACAGACACATTATTCACCATCTACTTGTGTCAGTTACCCATTGTTTCCTGTTCATCAAAACAAATTACTGGAAAGGGAAGAGAAGTGTTTTTTATTTAGTATATACTATCTGCTAGATGCTTTGTATATGCCAACTTATTTTATCCTCCACAATGCAACTGTGTGATAAGTATTATTATTCCCATTTTATAGAAGAAGAAACCTAGGATCAGAGAGATGAAATTATTTTCTCCAGGTCCCACAGCCAGGTAGGCCGGATTCTACCCGGACCTGTCTTCTGTCTGTGAACCACACAGTCTTCCTGGTGGGTTATCTCCTGTTTGGGGTTAGCCTTGCCTGGCCCCTCCTAATTCACAGAGAGACGAAGCACAGGGGATGGTGGGACATCTGTTAGTCGGTGTCTTTGGGGTGGTAGACAGAGCAGGATGTGGGTAGGGAGGGGACAGTACCTGTCTGTTATGAAGCTGTCTGTCCACGTAGATCTGTCCCTCTGTGATGAAGCCCGTCAGGTCTGGGATCGGGTGGGTGATATCTACAAGGAAATGCACTGGCCTCAGTGTAGATGGGGCCCATGTCTCTACCCACTTGGGGCCATCTGGGTTCTATTTGCCTCATGGGAGTGATAGGGGTGTGGGGGGCAAGAAAGGGAGAGCATCCAAACTGGTGGAGGAACAGAGCTACTGCACATCTATGCAAAGAAGCATGGGCCATTTGAGAGTCCAGGTGGACAGGAGGGGGGAGGTAGGGGGCTGTGGAGGTAGTGGGTAGTGAGGAAGCTCACCGTCATTGGGCATGGTGAGGATGGGGATCTGAGTGATGGATCCGCCCCGGCCTTCCACGCGGCCTGCCCGCTCGTAGATGGTGGCCAGGTCTGTGTACATGTATCCAGGGAAGCCTCGGCGCCCAGGCACCTCCTCTCTAGCAGCCGACACCTGCAATATCCGTGCGCATTGGGGTAAGACAGGGGTTGAACGGGTGATACAGAGAAGGGTGAGGGGAGATTCAGCGACTGTGTGAGAAGTGGGTGGGGGGCAGAAGAGGAATGGCTAGGCTGCTGCTGCTCCCTGGAGCTCACGGGAGTGGGGGCGGGCCTGGATGGGCGAGCTCTGGGGTGCAGGGGCTGGGGAGAGGCAGGGCTGAACCCCACACCCCTTGCCAACCGCCTCACCTCCCGCAAGGCCTCTGCGTAGGAGCTCATGTCAGTCAGTATGACCAGCACGTGCTTCTCACACTGGTAAGCGAGGAATTCTGCGGTGGTCAGCGCCAGGCGCGGAGTGATGATCCGCTCGATCCTGGAGGTAGGGCCAGTGTTTAGAGAGCCTGGAGGCCCAGGCTGTGCTAAGTGGAAAGTGCACTGGGAAGCTGGTACTGTGCATAGCAGCAGAGGAGTGGATAGACCCCCAGGTCAGGGCGATGGTTCCTGGGAGTGGGCACTCAGCCATGTCTGACACTCCCTCCTCCTAATGTTCAAGGTAGGAAAGGGGCAGAGGCTGGAGCAGGCGGGGAGTTGGGTGAGAATGAGAGAGACAGGGCTAGCAGTGTCTGATGAGGGTGACGGTGGCCCGTCCTGTGGCTTGAGGTGAAGGACTCTGGCGTATCAGAGCCAGGTGGGGTCTGCTCTAGCTCCCTCTTCCCCAGGGCACCCTGCACTTGGGTCCCTGGAGACTCTCACTCTGCATCCTCAGGATTCTTTCCTCACTGTTTCTCTCACTGCTCCTGAGCACATAAGTCTGCACCATCCATGCACTTGTCGGCCTGGCAGCCCTTGTCCACTTGACGCATTCCCAAGGCCATTCCTCTGGCTCTGGGCATTCGGTCCTGGGCCTCTGTGCCTGTGGGTCTTTCCTTTGGTGATTCATCGGGGCGCCCAGAGCTCTGTTACTTAGTTTTTGAGTACCCTCAGTACCCAGGATAGTTTATTAGAATTTTTTTCATCCACCTGACCCCCAGATTTAAACTCACTTTTTCTAAACTTTTAAAATAGCAGTTTTTCTAAACAAATGGTTTAGGGAAATATCTTTAGTGGTGACTTTGTGGAAGGGGCTCAAGGATGAGGAGCCCTGACTTGGGACAGTGGCTGGATGCAGGTTGTAGGAAGAGCAGAGGGGCTGCAGGCGACAGGTAGGGTGGTGGTCCGGCTCCCTATGTCTCTCCGTGGGCTATCCATGCCCCTTACCCAGCCTCAGTTTCCCCATCTGCACAACAAGGGGTTGTTCTCCCAGCTCTGGCCCATAGCCATAGTTCTGGGATGCCCATGAGCCATGGTACTCTGAATCTTGGAAGCAGACAGGGCCTGCTGCCTGCGGGCAGTATGGGCATCAGGGGAGGGCTCACGTGGGGTCATTGGCCAAGTTCAGGAAGAGGCAGACGTTCCCCATGGTCCCATTCTGCTCGAAGTCAGACTTGAAGAACCTGGCTGTCTCCATGTTCACCTGGACACACAGCAGGGAGGGCTGGAGGCGGGGCCCAGTGGCCTGAGGGCAGGGGCCTGGGTCCCTCCCATCTCTTCTCAGTAAAGCCTGTCCACTGACTGGCTCCCAGTCACTGGGAGCATGCTGGGGCTTGAGAAGACAGGGGCTAGGGTTGCTGCCCAGTCCTGGGGGGGGGGTCTCATCAGACCCTTCAAAGAAAGGTTCAGACTCCAGGTTGAACTCCGCTCAGTGCCATCCCTGCCTATCCCTTGGCCAGCTGCTTCCCTGCTAAACTCCCCGTTCCCCTCAGGCCCTCTGAGGGCCCCCTGGTATCCCCCTCCCGAAGCTGTCTTGTCTCCCCAAATTCCCTGGCTTCCCCCTCCTCCAGGCCATGTTGGGCTCATCTGGTAGGTGCCATGGCCTTTGGGATGCTTGAGGGACAAGCGGCCCTGGTCACTGAGCCCGCCACACTCCCTCTAGTCATGCTCTCACCTCTCCCACCAGACAGGCTGGGACTGGGACGCTTCTCAAGGAGAAGAGTTGTGCCTCCCCCATCAGATCAGGCCGTGCCAGGGGCCAAAGGAGACAAGGCTGCCCACCCACAACTTCCAGAATGTGCCAATCTGCCCAGCCCCTCTTACCCCCATGGCTGCAAAGACGATGGCAAAGTTGTCGTCGTGATAGTCCAGCACAGCCTTGGACTTCTTCACCAGCCCAGCCTGGCGGCAGATCTGGGCAGCAATCTGGGGTGGAGTGGGTTGGGAGAAGGATGTCAGCACCAGAGCCCAGAGCCCACCCCACTGAGCACCACTGAGGAGGATGGACGGAGCACTTTCCAGTCCATCCTCCTGCCAGGGCCTTTGGTGGGAGGAATCCAAAGCCAGAGAGGTGAAAGGGCTGCCCCAGATCCTACAGCCTTTCGAGGGGGGTGGGGCACCCTATTCTGTGGCTACTAAAGGGCTGAGGGTGCCTGTCAGGAGGAGCAGGGCAGAATAATAGTTCCAAAGAGCAACTGCCTCAGTATGGGTTTGGGGCAGTTTGGCCCTTCAGACCCCCTGCGCCTCCCCCACCTGCTAGGGGTTATCTGGGCGCAAAACTGCCCCAGGCGTGCAGTGTGAGGAGTTACCAGCCACACAGATCCAGGTGTGTGTGTGTAGGGGGAGGGCGGGGATGCTTATGCCCTCTAATCATTGTCTTGAGGGTGCCCTGGGGCACATCCAGGAGTGGTCATTGTGGGGCTGGTCAGGGGAGGAGCATCTAGAGTCCTTGTCACACCAGCTGCTATGAGAACAGGCTGTTCACTCTTGGTGGCAGGAGTGGGGTAGGGAACCTGCACAGGGAGGCTTCAGATGGCCGTGGGGCTGGCATAAGAGGGTTCACTTGGTGCAGAGAAGAAAGATCATTACAAGGAGCAGTGGGTAGAGCTGTCAGCCCCGCTGAACGGGACTCTCAATACTGGGGCTACCGACGGGCTCTCTTGTGAGCCAGGGAATGCCCCGCTCACTTGGAAGGAAGACCTGCCTGGGGACAGTGAGGAGGTCTTATATAGCCCTCAGTCCCTGAGCTGCCAGAGGACAACTGCCAGTCTGGATACTGGTCGCCCCAGCTGGGCTGGCCGCTCCTCGCTGGTGCACCAGCCCTGGCCTCAGCTCTGTTCCTTCCCCCTGCCCGTGCCTGCAGGCCCCTGCAGGCCTCACCTCATTGTGTGGGAGCCCAGCCGCTGAGAAGATGGGGATCTTCTGACCACGGGCAATGCTGTTCATGACGTCAATGGGAGAGATGCCTGTCTGAATCATCTCCTCAGGATAGATGCGGTCGTGGGGGTTGATGGGCTGGCCTGGGAGAGGGCGATCATGGACCTGTGCTCAAGGGTTCAGGTCCTTCCTCGCTCCCCCAATCCTGCGCCAGACTCCAGAACAGGAGTACGTAACAGAACTTTCTGTGATGATGGAAATGTGCTCTAACTCCGCTGCCCAATACAGCAGCCCTAGTCTCATGTGGCTATTGAGCCTATGATATGTGGTTTTAAAATGAAATTTTATTCCATTTGAATTAATTTGTATTTAAATGGCCACGCGTCCAGCTCTCTCTTGGACAGTGCTGCCCTGGTACATTGGAAGCGGCAGCAGGGTGGAGGTCAGGCTGGCCCCCATGGCCGAGTCAGGGCCTCTTCAAGATCTACAGGTGCTGTGTGTTGTTCAGAGGACCTGAGGGTGACCCAGAGACCTCCTGTCTGAGCAGATGTGTGTTCTGTGCTCTGCCTCTGATTGGCATGTGGCCTTGGGCCAGCCACGGACCTCCATGGGCCTCCATCGCTTCCTCAGTAAACTGACATGATAGGGTTGGAGGACCCAGCACGGCCTCCCAACTGGGAGAGGCTGTGTCTGCCTCTGTAAGCCACCCCAGCCAGCTCTCAGGGGGAGGCAGGGAACTGGAAGGCAGGAGAGAGATGATCTTGGGGCCTGCGTGGAACCCCGCATGACGATGATGGCATTTTACAGGAACTGGACATGCTGTGTTAATGGCAGTGTTTCAGTCTCTGTGGCAGATTTGGGGGCAGAGGGACCTTTGCTGCTCTCATATCACATCTGATCTGCCTGTTAGTTGACCAGCCCTGGGGGCGAGGCCTGGGCAGTCGCCCCTGGCCTATGTCTGGGGTAGAACTTCCAAGGGCAAGGTGACAGAGGTGATGACTGGGAGTGGGGAAGGTGCTTAGAGGCTGGGTCCCAAAAGCCATCCAGAGCCTGGGACCAAGTGACCAATGGTCACTCACCATTGATATCCAGGAAATCCTCCGCCATGACCACTGGCCCCTTGTCAATGGGCTTGCCGGAGCCGTTGAAAACCCGACCTAGGGGTGAGTGAGGGGTGTTGGAGGATGCTGGGGGCCAGCCCTGTGTCTCTCACTGCTGCTCACCCTCCATGCCACTACCAGCTCCCACCGCCCCCACATCTTGATTGCCCTGTGTCCCCCTCCCCCTCAGCCCTCGGTTACCCCCAGAGAGCTGGCTACAGTGACTGTCTCCTTGGGGGGTCTTCCCATCTCTCCTGAAAACCTTTAAAGGAAAGGCCTTGGCCCAGGACCATGACTTGAATGGGCAGGGTGGGGGGGGCGGGGGGAGGGCAGTTAGGGCTGGAAAGAGGAGAGGGCCAGGAATGGCAGATCTTGGGAGAAAATTAGGGGACGTGCAGTCCATTTCAGCCTGACCCCAAATAGATGGCACCTGTGTGCCTCTAGTTTATTGAACCTGACTTCCTCATTTATTGAATGCCTGCTGTATGTCAGGCCCTGAGCTGGGGTTGGGGTCGAAGAGATAAGACACAAGCCCTCACCTCAAAGAGCTCACAGAGGAGGCAGACATGGAAAGAGGCAAGGACAGTGCAGTGTGCTAAGCACTTGGTCAAGAAAGCTGAGCTGACAGGACAGAGGAGCACCCCCACCTCGCCCCACCCCACCCTCACCCAGCATGTCCTCCGACACTGGAGTCCGTAGGATGTCCCCTGTGAATTCGCAGGTGGTCTTCTGGGCATCGATCCCAGAGGTCCCTTCAAACACCTATGGGACAAGAGGTTAGTTACTCTAATAAGGGGCTTGCTGGGGAGAAGGAGGCCTCCCATTTTCCCATTTGTCCCCAGCTCTGGGTAAGGTGCTCTCAGAAAAGTAGGACATTTTCCTGCCTTTGGAGCTTATAAGATAGTGTGGGAACTTTGTGGGTTCATTCATTTATTCAACTAGCCAACATCTCATTGACTTACCTGCACAATTGCCTTGGTCCCAGCCACCTCGAGCACTTGCCCGCTCCTCTGAGTCCCGTTGGGCAGGGTGAAATTGACAATCTCGGCATACTGGGCAAACTAGTGGGAGGGGAGAGTAGCCCAGAGCGCCAGTGAGACCAGAGGTGAAGTCCGTGTCTCCTCCCCAACCCTCCTTGATCCAATCTCAAGCTTCCATCTCCTCTCTTGTGCTCAGACACTCTTGGAAATGAACTTGAGGGTATGGGAAGTGGGAAGCTTGCATTCTGTTTGGGAGGCAGTATACCTGGATGGGTAGGAGCACTGACTTTAGAGCTGCAAGACCAGGGTTAGAATTGAAGCTCTGATGGTTAGAAGCTGGGTGACCTTGTGGAAGTTACTTAATGTTTCGGAGTCTTACTTTCCTCATCTTTAAAATGGGGATAATAATAATAATACCTACTTCACAGGGCTGCTGTGGGGAGGAAATGAGATAATATATGTAAAGTCATTAGCTGGTGCCTGGTACCTTGTAACAGCTCAATAAAATGTAGTAGCTATTATGGCTGTTTAGTTCTCCTGGATGGCACAGTTGTGTCTGCCCCTGGGGGCAAATGGTGAACACAAGGGGAAAGTGCTTTCCTTGGCTCGCAGATGTCCCCATGTACCAGGGACAGTCTCTCCCTAGACATGGGACTGGGAGTGATTCACATGTCTTCCTCACAGGCTTCAAGAGTAAAAAGAATCAGGCTAATATCTGGAATATGTAAAGAACTCTTACAACTCGACAATAAAAAGACAAATAACCCAAGTGAAAAACGGGCAAAGTATCTGAATAGATATTTCTCTAAAGAAGATACATAAATGTGCCAATAAGCATATATAATGCTCAACATCATTAGTCCTTAGGGAAATGCAAATCAAAACCACAGTGAGATACCACTTCACGCTCACTAATATGGCTGTAATAAAAAACATAATAAGTGTTGTTGAGGATGTGGAGACATTGGAACCCTCATACACTGCTGATGGGAATGCAAAATAATGCAGCCACTTTGGAAAACAGTCTGGCAGTTCCTCAAAAGGTTAACCAGAGAGTTGCCATATGACCCAGCAGTTCCACTCCTAGGTGTATATCCAAGAGGATATATATCCTAGGTGTATATCCAAAACATATGTCCACGTAAAAACTTGTACATGAATGTTCTAGCAGCATTATTCATAATAGCCAAAAAGTGGAAACAAACCAAATGCCCATCAACTGATGAATGGGTAAAGAAAATGTGATATCTCCATCCAGTGGTGTATTATTTGAAAATAAAAAGCAAAGAACTGATGCATGCTATAACATAGGTGAACCTTGACAACATTATGCTAAATGAAAGAAGTTAATCACAAAAGACCACGTATTGTATGATTCCATTGACATGAAATGTCCAGAATAGGCAAAGCTATTGGGACACAAAGTAGATTAATAGTTGCTGGGGGTTGGAGGGGGGAAAGACTGGGGTTGACAACTAACAGGTACAGGGTTTTCTTTCTGAGGTGATGAAACGTTCTGGAATTACATAGTGGTGATGGGGGCCGGCCCCGTGGCTTAGCGGTTAAGTGCACGCGCTCCGCTGCTGGCGGCCTGGGTTCGGATCCCGGGCGCGCACCAATGCACCTCTTGTCAGGCCATGCTGTGGCGGCGTCCCGTATAAAGTGGAGGAAGATGGGCACGGATGTTAGCTCAGGGCCAGTCTTCCTCAGCAAAAAAAAAAGAAAAGAAAAAAAAAAGGAGGATTGGCATGGATGTTAGCTCAGGGCTGATCTTCCTCACAAAAAAAATAAATAGTGGTGATGGTTGCACAATTCTATGTATACATTAAAAACTACGGAACTGTACACTTTAAAAGAGTGAAGTTTATGGTATGTGAATTAGAACTCAATTTAAAAAAATGATCATCAGGCTTTCCCTCCAGGACCACTGGCAGCAGTGGGCAGTGGAGGCTGGCCCCAAGGGACTCCCCAAGCTCTGCCTCTGTGCATGCTCCAGGAACCAGGTTCCCAGTCTTTACCCTCGTCTAGAGGAGGCCACAAGCTGGGCCAGGGAAGCAGACCCTCCCCACTGACACTGGTCCTCAGCACCAAGAGAGCTAAGTCCTGTACCTGCACCTCTTCCCAGTTAAGGAACTGGAGAGAATGCATAGCTTCATCCAGGCTCCCTCATCTTGCTTCCCATGGAGTAAATCATAATCTTAATCCAATAAAAATAAATGATAAACACCCCTGCCCCCACCAAAGTTCCTAATATTCGGGGAAATTAAAGTACTTCTCTAAATTACTCCTTGGACCTTAGAGGAAATCAAAACTGGAACGACAGATTACAGAAAAGAATGAACAGCATCACTTCATGCCGTGATCTGTAGAACACATCAAGTGGTACCACGTTTTCTGATCATAGTCAAAGTAAGTTAGAAGTCAATAACAAAAAAATAGAAAAACCTCATACATTTGGAAACTTAAAAGCATTCTAAATACAGAAGAATTCATAATCAGAATTAGAAAACATTTAACACTAAAGAAAAATGAAAAATTATATATCAACATGTATATGATGCCTTTAAAGCTTTAAATGCTTATATTAGAAGAGAAAAAAGGTTGAGGAAGCTTTAAGTATGCAACTTAGAAGTTAGGAAAAGAACAGCATTATAACTCCTAGAAAGTTGAAGAAGTAATGTAAGAGCAGAAATCATTAACACAGAAAAAATATATATAATAGAAAAGATCAACAAAGCCAAATTGGATCTTTGAAGAGCCTAATAAAACGACAAATCTCGGACAACACTGATTAAGAAGAGAGAAAAGGCATGAATAAATAACTGTTGGAATGAAAAAGTCAAAACTGGCTATACTAATAATATTAAAAAGATAATAGAAAGGAATTATGAACAACTTTATGCAAGATATTTCAGAACTTAGAGGAAATGAATAAAATCCTAGTAGAATACCACCCAAATGAAAACCAATTAAAAACTAAATAGAAAACCACACTAGTCCTATAATCCTTAAAATATTGAATAAATATTTTAAAATCTTTCCACAAAAAAACACCAGTCCCTGATAGTTTTACCAATAAGTTCTAACAATCAAGGAACAAATAATTTTGAAATTTATTTAAGCTCTTCAAAAGACTGGAAGAAAAGAGATGGTCTTTAATTCATCTTTTGAGGCAAGCATAACCTTGATACCAAGACAAGATAATTATGGGAAAATTATAGGCAGTCTCACTCACGAACAGAGATGCAAAAATCCTAAACAAAACATTGGCAAACCAAATCTAGCAATGTATAAAAAAGACCAAGTTACAAACCGAATAATAAAAGAAAAAAAATTAAAAAACAAAAAACGATGATAAACACACACACATACACACACAAAAATAAAAAATACCAAGTTGGGATTATTCTGGGAATTCAAGGTTAGTCTAATATTAGAAAATCTATTAATGTAATTTGTCTTATTAGTGGATTAAAGGATAAAAAAAACCTGTGATCAAGTCAAAAAATTTTAGAAAATTAAAAAAAAACTGTCCATGATTAAAAACAAAAAACAAAGAACAAAACTACTCTTTGAAAACAGAGACTAAAAGGGAAATTCCTTTACTCAAAGTATCCTCAAAAAACCTACAGAAAATATCCTAGTCAATGGTATAATGCATGAAAGATTCCCTTTAAAGTTAGGAGCAAAACAACAAGGCTTGCTGTCATCATTCTATCCAGCCTTGTGCTGGAGGAACAGCCGAAGTCATAAGATGGACAGAAGATAAAGATTAGAAGGAAACAAAACCATACAATGGAAAACTCCCCCCCAAATCCAAGACAGATAGTACCCCCCGAAAAACTATAGACCGATTTCTCTTACAAATATAAATGCAGAAATTATAAATAAACTATTAGCTAGTCAAATCAAGCAGTATATTAAATAAATGAACAAGTATGACCAAATAGGATTTATTCCAAGAATGGAAGCCTGCATCCATCAACATTTGAGAATTTGTTAACATTTGACAACGTGTGTCATAATAATAATGAGTTTGTCAACATAAACTAAAAGAAAAACCCCAGAGGGTTATGTAAATAGAAACCAAAAAGTTTTTTGATACGATTCGGCAAAGCTGTTTCTATTACAATTCTGTCAAACAGGAACAGAAAGCAACTCCTTGAACGCTAGACTACGTACCAAAACCAATATCCACCTCCTTCTACAAGGTGAAATGCTCAACTCATTTTCATTTCTAGTAAAATCAGTAACACAGAGAGATGTCTGTATCACCATTGTTACTTAATATTGTTTTGGAAATTTTAGTTTATACAAGACAAAAAAAATATATTAAAAAGTATACCAATAAACATAAGTGGAGAATGTTCTATATTTTTAAAAAAGTGGTGAGAGGAGGAGACTGTATTCTCCAAAAATGTCAAAGAAAGGCTGTGGGAAAGTTCCAGATTATAGGAGGCTGAACAGCCATGGTGATTAAATGCATTACCTGACCCTAGGCTGGATCCTATATTGGAGGGGGAAAAGATGCTACAAAGGAGTTTATTAGGCCAGCTGACAAATCGGGGTGTAGATGGTAGATTAGATAAAAGTATCAGTGTAAATTTCTAAAATTGATAACTACTGTGGGTATATAAGAGAATATCCTCATTCTTTGGAAATACACACTGGAGTATTTGGGGATAACTTACCCTCAAAAGATCTAGAAAAGAATTATGCACATATATATACCCTCAGAGCAAATGATAAAACAAATGGGATAAAATGTTAACAGTTGGGTATGTGGATGTTCCTTGTACTATTTTTATTTCTGCAACTTTTTATAAATTTGAAATTGTTTCAAATTAAAAAGTAAAATTAAAGTATGCTGATGGAAGAAGAGATATAATTCTCTTTATTTACAGATGATGTGGTATATCTAGAAAAACCCAAGAAGCTCTAGCTAAAACAGCAAACAAAACAGGATTAATAAGAGGATTTGGCTGTATACAAGATAAAGACATAAAAATCAATCTCTTTTTTTCTATTCCAATGACAATCAGTTAGAAGAGGAAATGGAGAAAAATATTCCATCCCCAATA